GAGATGGCAACTATGTCACCTTGAACACAACCTTATGTAGGTTTTTCTGTCATTTTTTGATGATTAGCTATGTGGATACAGACCTTTGAAACTGTTTCTCATAGTTCTATAATGTAGTACATGTAGATGACAAAATCCCATAGAACTATTCAGGTTTAATATGGTTGCAATAGTCAAATGTAAACAATCCATAGACTCATATTTCATATTATCCTCCCATTCTGAAGATTTGCTTAGCAATAACTTCCAGATAGCTCATGTGAAAAGAGAGCTTTCAGTTTGTATGTAGTTCCTGCTATTTCTTGTGAAACCTATCATACGTTGGAACTATAAAACTTTATCTTAGGACTCATGAAAGTTTTATTTAAAAGTAAAAATAAAAAAGACAAACTCCATGGTAGATTGTGTTCTCACATATCTGTAATCTTCTTTGTACATACTAATCAACTTGTAGCTGGGTGTGTGGCCCAGTGATAGGGCACATTTTTTTAGCCCCACCTTGCTGCTTGTGTGGTCAGTAGAATGTGAGAGGAAGGGACATATGCCATTTTCTAAGTCTTTCCCTTGATAGAACATATAATAGTCTTCCTTTATCCACAGAAGATATATTCTGAGATTCCAGCGGATGCCTGAAATTATGGACTCTACCAGACTCTCTCTATGTGTGTGGTTAGGCACAGTAAGAGATAAACAATAGTATAAAATAGGACAATTACAATATACTGTAAGAAAAGTTAAGTAAATGTGATCTTTCTTTCTTAAAATATCTTATTGTAAATTTCTCCTTCTTGTAATGACTTGTAATGGCAGTTAAAGCAAGCATTTTACAGTTTCTCCTTGGCATATCTGAATTGTCAACATCAATACTCTTGCAATTTGGGGCATTACTAAGAAAATAAGGGTTACTTGAATACAAGCACTGCTATATGGTGTCAGTTAATCTGATAACTGAGATGGCTACTAAGTAGCTAATGGAAGGGTAGCATATGCATCATGGATACACTGGGGAAAAGGATGATTCATGTCCTGGAAGGATGGGATAGGATGACACAAGATTTCATCAAGCTGCTTAGAACAGCTTGTAATCTAAAACTTATGAATTCTTTATTTCTGAATTTTTTCTTTTAATATTTTAAGCTTCAGTTCACCATGAGAAGTGAAGCTGTGGATAAGGGGAGTTATGGTACTTAGCTCATCTTTTTCCCATCTTGATGGTGACAGGGAGTGTCACCTTAGACGCAGAGATGTAAATCCTGTCAGATCAGGCTGAGCAGGCAGCAACCAAAGGAGGCAGATTTAAAAGGGCCCCTGAACAGGCTTTATTGAGATATCACTCCCGGGCGGAACTCGATCAGACCCACAGAGGGGACAGGGGAAGGGTCTGAGGAGAAACCGCGTGGAAGCCCGACCAGACTGGACCTTTATGGGGCTTACAGCAGGAAGGGAAGGGCTCGGGACAGGAAAAGGTGTCTCTAGGGTCCCTTGCCCCCTTGGAGTTGGTCAGGGGAGTTGGCTGAACTCCAGGATTGGCCAGGGGGTCCTGCTGATTGACAGGCGTTAATCAGGAGATCTGGCTGATTGACAGACGTTTCCGCCGGCATCTGATTGATGTTCTTTTCCAGCCGGGCTGCCACCGACCTAACAAATCCCATGTCTAAGACTATTCCTGGACTTTTAACAGTTCCTTGTTTGAACAATTGCATTCATGGGTATCTTTAATACAGCTGCCCATCTTTGTGCTAACTAATATATCACTTCTTTTATTGTTCGGACAAAATAGTTTCAGAGTATGCTCTCATTTTCAAAAAGTTCATAGTTCTGCTTTATTGCTCCCATTCTATTTAGTTCAGCTGTGTGTGTCTCTGCAGTTGTGGTTGGCAGTTCCCTGGTAATGGTTTCACTTACAGGTGACATCCATGCTCTCCTTGGCAGCAGAACTGCTTAGTGATGAGTGCTCTGTGGGCCAGGCTGTACTCCTGGAGCTCAGTGCCGACACACATCAGACATGTGACAGATCTGTTAACCAAGAGACGGATGGAGGCAGAGATCTCAATCTTATAAGGAGATGGTAAAAATCTGAATTTAGTTCAGTAGATTATCAGGTGTGATACTCCAAAGACCTCAGCCTTTCCATTCTTGCTGTTTCAAACACCCAGCCCTAGCTTTCTTTTCCAAATGGATACTCACATTTGTGCCTCCTACTCTACAGTCTTTTACTAAAGAGTGGAAAGGAACCAGAGGGAATTAGATTATATTGAATGCCTTAACATTTATCAAAAGCTGTGCAAAACAATGATTAAAATCAAGGGCTTTGGGGGTCACATATATTGGGATTTAAATTCCAGCTCCTTGGCTTCCAAGCTGTGGGCTTTGGTAAGGAACTTATCTTAAGTTTCCTTATCTATAAAAATCGGGATAATAATGCCAACTTCAAAGTTTTCTTTCTAAGACAGACTGAATAGACTGAAAAAGGAAGTTGGTAAATGGTAGCTAATATTACCTCTTCTGTTTTCATTTCCTGGTGTCGAGTGCACTACACACTTATTAAGCAAATAAAATAGGCATAGTCATTATTATATAATGAATAAATTGAAGTTAAAGAATTCATAAGTTGAAGTAGATATTAAACTAGCTGTTCTGTAGATGAAGAAATGGAAGCTTGAAATATTTAAATATACCTTATTAATGTCTCAAAAATTAAGTAATTATGGGTCTGGTTTGATCTGGAATATGTTAAATTTCTGCCTTTGATAGTTCTCCATTGTTATTCTTGACAGGCTGTGATGGTCATGGTTATGTTAGTTACTTGCATTAATTTGAAGAAGAATTTTTTGGGGGCTGGGGGTGGGCATAGCTCAGTGACAGAGCATGTGCCTAGCATGTGCAAGGCTCAGGGGTTGCTTGATTCCTAGTACCAATAAAATAAGATAAAATAGAATCAATTTTTGTTACAGACCTGGGATAATGATATGACTGTTCTAAATAAGGAAAAAAAATCACAAATGATAGGGAAGACAGCCCACTGAAACACTGGTAGTCTTTCCTATTTTTCTTATATAATCCAATCAATTTATGATTATTTTTCTGTATTTGTCCTAATCAGTCACATCTGAGGTTATATTATTTTAAATAGCATTGTGCCAAGTCCTCTGTTTAACTCCTTTTTAAAAATTCACAATCTATTGAAGAACCAACATAAAAATATCAAAACAATTAGAGACCAATACAAGTAATGAAATAATTGCAATAATTGCAATTGAGTTGTAAATAAAATTTGAGTTTCTCCTGGGTGTTGTGGTGAATGCCTATAAACTCAGTTACTTGGGAGACTGAGGCAGGAGGATTTCAAGTTCAAGGCCAGCCTGGGCAACAAAGAGACCTCATATAAAATGTGAATATATATATTTTAGTTTTCTAGCACAGTAAATTCTAAAAATTCTTAAAATTTGTTGTTTGTCAGCCATTTTTAATGTTTAACTCTCTCATACCAGAATCGGGGCTCAGTCTCCAGTTCTCCATCTTCCAGTTTCTCAGTGTGGTAGATCCAGATATTTGCCTTATACCTTCCTGGTGACCAGTTCCCTACGGTGTAGCTACACTTAGTCTCCTTACCTCTCCCCTAACTCCCATAACCCACATCGACTATGCAGACATGCCACAGTGACCACCATGCAGTCACAGGGTGGCCCTAGCATCTGTTTGCTATACTGGTCAATTGAAATTCTAATTGGAAACTGCTTGAATAATGATTTGGACCTGGTAAAGGCTTTAGTCCTACTGGTCCCCTCTCCTCTCCTCTCTGTCTCTCTATCTGCTGGCTAGCCTGAGTCCTCCAGATTTTCAGTCCAGCTCACGAGAAAGACCTCAAAACCAAATTAGAGAGAAACTATAACAATAAAAATCTCAACACCTAGCAAAGTGAATATTGAGAAGAGGAAAGATACAAAGGAAGCCAAGTTTTTCCTTATTTTAACTGGCAAGAGAAATTTCCCATGTGTCACTTTACAAAAGGCACAGTGAAAGGTGCTCTCAATGTCATTCCTACAGAAGAGGTAGCAAATTAATTCAACTGGCTTTTACCTTCTACTTTCGATAACACCTGAGCAGGTGTAACACTGAAGGAACTTGCGTTCAGGACTAAAAAACATAATGTATAAGAGCAGAATTTGTGTGGCAATAGGAATATACTCAACAGCAGCACATTTAAAAAATAGTTTTCCTAAATATAGACTTTCCAGGTTGAGCTCTGATAAAAGTTAGGCAGCAGAAAATTCTCAGAAAAGGTGCTTTGATGAGAACCTACACAAAATTGCTATCTGGAGTTTCTAGAAGAGTTGTTCTGAATTCCACCTCAGCTGATGGTTTGGCCAAACACCTTTCGTTGAGAGGTTGAACTCTTCTATGGACCCATGTCTCCAGAAGGGTCATTCTACTTGCAGGAGATGGTGGGCTTCTTGCTGTTCTCACCTCCTGGCCATGCACCATGTAATAAAACAACCCGTAGGTTTATCAAGCACGTTTAACCGACAGCTCCGAACCAGAGGAGTAAAGCAGTACCCCACACTGCAATGACCTGCCACACCTTCCAGCCAACTCTAAGGAGGCAGAACACTTGAATTCACTTGCGCAGCTTACTTAAGGCAAAGATTCCACGGCACAGGCCAAGGAGTGCAGGGAGGTAGGAAAATGATGGTTCAGAATATGCTTCCCTTAACTAGCCCATGATTTCAGAAAACTACTTTCTCCTGTGCTAATAACCCTTCTCATTCCCTGCAGTGAGGGAATGAAGGTGGTGCGTGCTAGTCGTACCTGGCGAGCTCAGTTACGGAGCGGGGTTGGGGGAGGGAACGAGGGGCGGGGCCTGGGCGGAGCGAGGCGGCGGAGGGGGCGGGGCCTAGCGAGAGGCTGCTGGGGTGGGCCGGCCGCGAGCGCGGGCGGCGTGGGCGGGGCCCGGCCTCAGGGCAGAACGCCGAGTGCGTGCGCAGACGCACTGGCGCTGTGTGGGGCGGAGCGGCAGCCGCAGACCCACGCCGTAAACAGACAACATGGCGGTTGCGGCCCCCGGGGCTTGGCGTGCCCTGCAGGCCGGCCGTGCCCGCCTGGTGGCTGCTTGCCGCGCATGGCTCGGCCCAGGGTGGAGGCTGTCCGGCTCGTGGGCGGGTCGGCGGGAGGGTCCGGCGGTCTGGGCCGGGGGTCCTGCCCAGAGGAGGGGATACAGCTCTGAGGCGAAGACGGAGGACGAGCTGCGGGTGCGGCACCTGGAGGAGGAGGACCGAGGTGAGCGGGACGCGGGGGCGGACCGCGACCCCTCCGTCTCCCGACGCACCGAAGGCCCGCGGGCTCTCGGCCCAGGGCACTCTCGGTCCAGCGTGGCCGTGTCATTGTGCACCCCCAGGGCTGAGTGCCACTCACCTGAACGGTGTCCTTTCTGCGCGGAGACCGAGATGCAGCTGGGGCCCCGGGCTCTGCACGAGCCGAGGTCGACACGCTGGGTATTTGATCTTTGATTCCAGGTTTTTGTTTTTGCTGTGTAATGGCATTCGGTCAACTCAGGTATCAGTGGTAAGAGTTGGAGAAGCTGCAGTTTGAATGCCTTTTATTCTGAATAGTCTTAAATTTGAAGCCGTTTTCCCTCGTGTCCATATTGTCTTAGAAAGTTAGTTTTTGGACTGCTCCAGTTAAGCAATTTTGAGCACATTTTGACTTGTTAAGCTCTGGGGGCACATTATCTGGATGATATTAATCTTCCTCTTGCAGCACCTATGTCAAGAGATGAAAGACACATTCGCCATATATTACAGAGGGAGGGAGGCTATGGAGGAGGGAAAACATGAAGAAACACTGATAAAATTCCTTCCTTTAATTTGCAGTGTTGGGAAGAACTAAAGGGATTGTGAATATTATATTGCCCAGGTTAGACAGGACCAGTCCTTTAATTTTGACATGTTTATGGAGCACCTATAATCTGTAAAGCAGAAGTGAAAACGAGTAAGTCATTGCTGACTTTAAGAAGCTTCTGGTATAGTCAAGGAGATCGGGTGATGCTAACTTAAAAGGCTTGGTGAGAGCACAGTGCTATAATACCTGGAGGGTTTTTGCCACTTGAAAGTGGTTCCAAGGCATTTTTTTTTTTTTTAAATAGGCAATGCATAGTGAGTGTTCTTGGGAAATTTTCTGTGCCTCAACTATCTCATGTGTGAAATAGGAAAAAACGATACCAACTCTATTAAGGCTGTTGTGAAGATTAGATGAGATTGTTAACATACATTGCCCACTAAATATTTGTCCCATAGTAGGTGCTCAGGAGTATGTAGAACTACTTTATTTCTTGTTTATTATTCCAGACAGAAACAAAGGAATGATCAAAGAATTGGAGATGTGAACATGTGAGGTATATTTGGGAAATATCCTGAGGCATATGTAGTTATAGTGTGGTGTAGCAGGAAGAAGAGTAACAATTTCAGCTGGAAGACTGCACTGGCCCTGGGGTCCTTAGAGCCATGAGTGCAAGTCTTTGTGTTGGGATTTCAGTTATACTTGATGTACTGACAGCTTGTTAGATACAAAGATGATTGCAAGTACAGTGTATTCTGTGTGTTTTGATAAATGCATATTGAAAATAAGTTTGCACAGAACATCTGGTATGCCTTAAGTTAGGATTGAGAGTGGACAAAAAAGAGAAAATATTAGCATAAAATACAATTGTTATGTTTTTAGTTTATCCAAATGTAAATGTCAACTACTAGGACATCTTGGTTTCTTGAGAAAACTGACCCAGCCTCCTTTGAGGATTGGCAAGAATGACGTAGTCTTAGCTTATGTTACTTATGTTGTGCTTTGATTTACCACTGAACCAGTAATAGGTAGTGCAAAGAAAACTGTGAAGTCAAGGATATTACACCCAAAGGAGTGTCCCCGCAGCCTTTCTTACAGAGAGAAGTTCAAAATTTTGTGCTGTTAGTGGCTTTTAATGACTGAGAATTCTCCTGGGTCAGAGAAGCCCTAAGCTATTCTTGTAGACCTTTAGGTGGGGTAGGTGCAGAATATGTGAAACTTCCTCTCTTGTCAGGGTTCCATATTTGTAATTTGTTGCAGGGTTCCAGCTATCTAAGCAAGTTTCTTTAGTGATTGGTTTTTTTTTTTTTTTTTCATTTCTTTTTCTTTTTTTTTTTGGTACCGTGGATTCAACTCAGGGCACTCGACCACTGAGCTACATCCCCAGCCCTATTTTATATTTTATTTAGAGACAGGGTCTCCCTGAGCTGCTTAGTGTCTTGTTTTGCTGAGGCTGCCTTTGAAATCGTGGTCCTTCTGACTCAGCCTCCTGAACTGCTGGGATTACAGGCATGCGCCTCTGCGCCTGGCTTTTCCAAATTTCTTTAGTGGTTATTTCTTTCATTCTTGTTCATCCTACACAGTTTTAGAGCAGTAGTCGTGGCTTGCAGAGATTCTTCCTGGTTCTTTTTCATAGGTCTTTTGGCTTTCAGTAATTTCCCTTCCCAGTTTATTCTTCATATTGTTGTTGGGGTTGCCTTTTTTTAAAGCTAAGAATCATCCTCTGCTCAGTTAAAAACCATTAGTTGCTCCCTATTGCCTGCAAGTCCTTCTCAGCCATCGGGCCTTTACAGTCCATCTCCCTTAACTTTTAGCTTCTCCTGCTGTATTCTGTGTCGTGGTTTCTGCAAACACCTCCTGGAATGATCCTTCCTTTTCCCCTATGAATCTTCTCCCAGTGTGGCAAGCTTCTATAATTGTGACCATTTCAAAGATCTTGGTAAACCTGTTGGAATAACTTCTAGCAAAAATAGGGCAAATAAGCAAATGTATAGTGCAGAGTCATTCATGATACCTACTTCTTCAGTCATGATATTTAGATTGTCATGTCTTACCAAGTGTCTGAAATATTTCATGTTCTTCTTTATCTATGTTATCTAAGCCAGCCTCTTGGACTGCTACGGAGATCTGTAGTTGGTCTCCTTATGCTATAGAGGTCTGTAATTGGTTTTCCTATTTCTACTTCCTTTTCTTTTTAAATTTGTTCTAATTAGTTATACATGACAGTAAAATGCATCTCGACACATTGTACACAAATGGAGCACCACTTCTTCTTCCTGTGGCTGAATATGATGCAGAGTCACACTAGTAGTGTAATCATCCACGTATATAGGGTAATGATGCCCATCTTTCCTTTTCTTTTTAACAGGTTGATTAATTTCGTGTTTTTTCTGTTTTAAAAAATATATTTTGATATTTTTTATGTAAAAATAAAAAGTAAAGATATATTGATATATGTATATATTTTTTACTTTTTATTGAAATAATGATTCAAATAGCATACCATTTAATATTCAAAATGGATAGTTGCTTTAGTGTATTCAGTTATGTTATAACTATCAATAAAATCCAATTTTAGAAATCATTTTAAATCAAAATAAAAATAAACCCTATTGTCTTTGGCAGTGACTCTTCATTCAGCCTCTGTCTCCTGGTCCTAAAATAATGTTTATCTATTTTCTCTCTCAGTAGGTTTGTCTACTTTTAAGTCTATTCCTAGTATTTTTTTCTTTTTGATGCTATTGTAAATGAAATTGTTTTCTTAATTTCATTTTTAGATTGCTCATTGCTAGTGTATAGAGACAGTTGATTTTTGTATAATTGTGCAATTTTGATGAACTCATTTATTCTAATAGTTTTTTAGTGAATTTCTTAATAATACCTGTTATAAGATCATGTTATTTGCAAATAAGGTAATTTTACTCCTTTCTTCTCAATGTGAGTGTTTTAAGTTTCTTTCTCTTGCCTGATTTATGTGCTTGGAGCCTCCATGACAGTGTGGAATAAAAATACTGAGAGCAAACATACTTGTCCCTGATCTTGCTGAGGAGAGGGGAGGGAGCATTGATGTTAGTAATTTTTTTTCCTTGGTATATTCCCTTTACCAGTTGGGAAACTTCCTCAGATTTGTAGTTTGTTGAGTGTTTTTATGAGTTGAATTTTGTCAAATGTTTTTTTCTGTCGTATTGGGATAATCATGGTTTTTGTAATTAGCCTATTGTTGTGATAACTTCCACTAAATGATTTTCAAATACTGACCCAGACTTACATACCTGGAGTAAATTCTATTTAATTGTGTTATAAAATTCTTTTTATAGATTGTTGTATTTGATTTGCTTATATTTTGTTTGAGAGTTTTTATGTCTATGTTTATGAGAGAGCGTAGTCTTTAGTTTTCATTCTTGTAATGTCTTTCTTTGTCTTTGGTATGTGGATAATGCTAACTTGACAGAATGAGCTTGGATGTTTTCCTTTTGCATCTGTTTTTGGAAACGATTGTAGAGTTATGGTATAATTTTCTTGATATTTTGATAGTGGGATTTACCTGCAAAACTTTCTGGCTCTGATACTTTTGTTCTGGAAGCTTGTTGCTTATCGATTCAGTTTCTTTAATAGATATAGGCTCTTTCAGTTCTGTTTGTCCTTGTCTGTATTTATATTTTATCTTCCAAGGAGTTGGCCCATTAAATCTAAATTATCAAATTTGTGGTCATAAAATTGTTTATAACTTTCTTTTATTATGCATTTAATGGGGGGGAGGTCAGTAATTTGTATTTTCTCTCTCTTCTTTATAATATGCCTGGCTAGAGGCTTATCAACTTAGTGATCTTAAACAAAACAAAACAAAACAAAACAAAAACCAAACAAACCAGCTTTTGGTTTTGTTCACTTTTCTGTATTGGTTTCCTATTTTCACTTTCATTGATTTCTGCTAATTGAATTTTTTTCCTGCTTATTTTATTTTCACTTTATTTTACTTCTATCTGATTTTTGTTTTTGGTACTAGAGATTGAACTCAGGGTGTTTTACCACCGAGCTCCATCCCCAGCCCTTTTTATTTTTTATTTTGAGATGGAGGTCTCATTAAGATGCTGAGTATCTCACTCAGTTGCTGAGGCTGGCCTTGAACTTGCAATCTTTCTGCCTCCATGTCCTGAGTAGCTGGGATTACAGGTGTGCGCCATTTGCCAGACTGCTTCTCTTCTAGTTTCTTAGGGTGGAAGCTTAAATTACTGATTTTAGTTTTATTTGTCTAATGCTATAAATGTTCCTGTAAGCTCTGCTGCATGTCATTTGTTTTGATAAGTAAATTTTTGTTTACTTCTACATATTTTAAATTTTGTCTTGACACTTTTTTTCAAGATGTATACATTATTTAGAAGTGCCTGTTTAATCTCTAAGTATTTTGGAGCTGAGATTTCTGTTATTGATTTCTAGTTTCT